TGTGTGTGTGTGTGTGTGTGTGTGTGTGTGTGTGTGTGTATGTGTGTATGTGTAGGGGAGACCATCCCAGGCAACACACTCTTTCAGGACAGGAACTCTTATCATTTTTCCCCAGTTTCTCTAAGGCCCCCCCAATGTCTCCCAACTCCTCTTAGGGTCCCCTTATCTCAAGTCTTATCAGCCTCATATCCTCTTACCTTACAGTCTGGTCTGATAGCCATCCTGCATCACACTGTTCATAGCCCCCCAAGTAAGCAGCATAGAGCTGCTCAGGGCTAGCTATTCGGGCCCCAATACGGGCACAAGCCTCTTTTGCACGGAAGAAGGAGAAAGCATAGCGGGCAGAGCCCTCTCGGTACAAAAAGACGACCCCTAAAGAACAGAGAGGCCCCTGAATCCAAGTATTCAGCCTACCCCTCTACATCACCTGCCTACCTCCCCCACCCTACCTAAGAATCAAATGAGATTTTATATATATAAATATATTTTAAATAAAAATAATAAAATATTTAAATACTATTTAAATAAAAGTTATATATATACATATATACATACATATATATATATATATATATATATATATATATATAAACCTTAGCACAGTGCTTGGCACATAGTAGGTGCTTAATAAATGCTGGTTCCCTCCCTCTTCTCCCCATTACTCATTACTTCTGGGAGACAAAAACTGAAGACCAAACTCAGGTTATCCTGTAGCAAGAAGGATTTAGGGTAAACCTCACGCAGATAATACTTTCCATTAAGAAAAGGACTAGAGACAAAAATCTATCTACCCTTGTTCCTCTGCCCCCATTCCTTTGCCCCACCTCTTCTCCCATAAGACTTGGAGCTTCCTGAGGGCAGTGACTTCGTCTTCTTCTTACACTACCCCCACCCTACCCCTCAGACTACTCAGCCTACAGGTGCCTACTCACAAGGCTCTCAGGAGAGTGGAGGTGGGGGAGGAAAGTGTTCTCTTTGAGGTTTGACTTCTGCACTACTCACCTTTAACCTTGACCTCAACGGCATCACTGCCATCATCAATCCCATGTTGGACTTCACAACGATATAAGCCAGAGTCATTGGACCTCAGTTCACTCAGCACCAGGGAGACATCAGTGGTTGAGGCTGGATATCCAGGTAGAGCCACCCGGTACCTGTAGCCTTCACTGACCTTGACCTTGAGGCCACGAGCCACCAACACCTCAGCCTCCCGACCCCCAGACAGGAAAGTCCATTTGACTCTGGGAGAGCCCAGGACAGCCCTGCGGCCTGGGGGAGGGGTTGGGGGTGGTGGCCTAAGGTAGGAGATGTGGCAGGGGATAGTAATGGAGCCCCCAAGGACCCCTCGAAGAGGGGAGTCACCCCCAATGGACACCTTGAATGCCTGATCCTCTGTGGGAGGAAGGGAAGAAAAGGGAAGAAGATGGATTCCTTTCATGTTATAACTGGTCCCCCCTCCCCCAGTGTTCCCCAGGCTCCTCCTCTCCCCACCAGTAAAACTCAGTCCCCTCAGTTCTTCTCTAGCATCCCCCCATTCTCAACCCCTCACCCCTGAGGTTCCTAAACACTTCCCGATTGTTACCTGAGCTGTCACCTGTGAACGCCACAGATGAGGAAGTTAGGGCTTGGACCAAGGCAGTCAGGAGCAGCAGGAGCATCTGTGCCATGCCCGGGGCTGCTATTGGGAGGCAGGAGAAGCAGGTGGGATGCTGGTCTAACCTGAAGTCTAACTTGAGAGCCAACATTTTCCCTGATGGAGAGACCCTGGATACCACTTTTCCCCTGGCTCACGTGTTCTCCTAAGAATACCTCCACTCCATCATCAGGGTATCATAGGGGAAAGAGCACAAGATTTTGAAGCAGGAGACCTGGAGTTAGATGCCAGTTCTACTAATTACTCCTGTGACCTTGGGAAAGTCACATCACTTCTGAAGGCCTCAGCTTTATCTATAAAATTAGGTTAGACTAGACAAACTGGAAGATCCCTTCCAGAATGAAATCATATGATCCTATGATCACCCCCTCATGGCTCCTTGTTCCCATCTTCCCCTCTGACTTTGCTCTCTCCAGGTTACACTCTCAGGGCTCTGAGCTCCCTTTCCATCTGCTCTCCTCCCCCAGCCCTTTCCTACCCTTTCATTCCTAATATTGGTAACCAAGGCTGCCGACTCCAAGAAGGGCTCTGGGATTGAATCAAAGCCAACTTCCCTAAAATACCCTCTTAACATTCCCTCCTCCCTGCCTTACGTAATGAATTCTCCTCTTTCTCCCCAGACTTTGCCCAAGGGGACCCCACGACTCATCCTCTTTCCTCTCAATACCCCAACCCTGACCCCCTCCCCCTCCCTGACAACCTCTCCTTTTTCCCTGGCACTGGCTTTCTCACCAGATCTCCTCAGTTCAGGAACCAGCCTGGGACAAAGCCCCTCTCTCTGGTTGCCTGGCCCCCTTCCAGCCCTTCCCCCCTTCCAGGCTGCACCTTTTGTAAAGGGCTATTCTCTCTCCCCAGGGAGGGGGCTGGGCAGCTAAAGGGATATTAAGAAATAAAAAAGGGACCACAGGACATTCTATTGCCCAGATCAGTGGCCACGACAGATAGATTTGATCAATCTCAAAGTAAGTATAGGAATAGACCCTTCACTCCAACCAGCTCTCCTCGTGGGCCAGAATGAAAGCTCAAAAAGTTCACTAGTGTCCAGAGAGGGCAAGAAGCTAGGGAGACACTAAGGGTAGAAGGAAAGGTAGGGGAAGAGGATCCAGGTATTCAAGAACCCCTTGCCCTTGATTTTCATAGTGGTCTTCATGTCGTCAGGCCCTGGAGCTGAGATTCTTTAAACATTTCTCATCTTCCAGAGAGACAGAGATGGAGACCATCTAGCTCCCATTGTTACCTATATGTTTTGGTCTCAGCTTAGGGTAGAGCGTGGACGAGCCTGCCATAGAAACAGGACAATGTATCATCTGGAAAGATGGAGGTGCAGGAAGGCTGATGTGGTAACAGAGAACTAATAGATGAAGTGACATCATTCTCTCCTCCATTCATTCCTCATCGCCACCCCCACCTCTACCGTTACACCCAAGTTGAATCAAAGCCAATTTTCCTAGAAACTTCTAGGGTTGGAGGAAGGAATATGACTAGGGAAACTGGATGCTTGGGCTTCTTTCTAACCTTGAAGGACAGGAGTCTCTCAGTCAGTGAGGGCTCAAGGATATTTGAATATCCTGAGACCTCTTACTTTCAAGAAACATAGGAAATCCATATAATCTTTTGGATTTTGGGGGGGGGAATTGATAAAAGGCTATACTAGGTGCCCACTGGTTGCTCTGGAGAGTTATTCTCCTTGGAGTTATGCCAGGGAATTGTGCCCAGCCTGGGCATCCCCCCCCACCTTGGCTATGGACTAAGTTTCACCCCAATTTCATTTTCCTGATTCCCCCTTCTCTCTGGGACTGGCATGACTCCCCACATCTGTTTTTCTCTTCCAGGGAACACAGGAACCCCCATTCCTGGCATTGCTTTCTCTACTATGTCCCACAGACTGCTGGGAGCCAGTCCGGCCCACATCCTGCAGCAGAGGGTAAGGCAATAGAAGAAAAAAGTAAGGGAAAAGAACTCAGGCACCTGTGCCTTCATTTCCCCTAGTTTTAACAATCCCTCCTTTTCAGATCTGGAAATTTAAAAGCACTTAGATAATCTAATCTCACCTCACATTCTCTTTGCCATCTTTCCACATCTTAGTCTCTCATCTACAGTTACAGTGTCAGACACCTCCCAAGCCTCATTTCTGCTTATAGATTCCTGCTCTGCTCCCAACTTCTGGAAGGAATTGTCTCAAGTCATCCAATCTCGGGGTTGAATCCAAAAAGCCTTCTCTATTACTGCTGTCTCCAGACTTTTCCCTATTTTCCTTATTTCCCTATTTCTTCTATCATGTTATTGAATGAGGAACATCAGGGGAAACTAAAGGCGTTGGAGGTTGGTCTGAGGTAGTTCAGGACCCTAAAGTCATCTCAACTTCTCTTATACTTCATGTATTTCTGATCTTTGAACCACACTCTCATAATGAGACATTACTGCAATCCTCAGCTGCAAGTGCATCCACAATTCTCATGCCACAAACCAGTGACTAGGGTGAGGGGAACAGAGGGGTCTCTATATGTCTGAGAACCTAAGAATGGGTATAGTGTGTGTCTGTCTGTTTCTATGTTTGTATGTATATTTATATATCTGTCACTTGATTTGGAGTCAGGCATGGGTTCAAATCCTGGACTTGACACTTAGTATGCATATATCCAAAGAAAACTCATTTCAATTCTCTGAGCCTCAGTTTCCTTATCTATAAAATGGGGATAACAATATTTGAACCACATACATCACTAACTTGTGAGGAAAGTGCATTACAAACCTTTAAGCACTTACTAGCTGTGTGACCCTGGGCAAGTCATTTAAACCCAATTGTCTCACCAAAAAGCAAAAAACAAAATACAAAAAAACAAAAAAAAAAACCTTTAAGCACTAAAGAATGTGTACTATTTATTATTAATTCATATGTTAGCATATGACTATTTGTTTTTCTGTACCTGTGGGTGTGGTCCTATCTCTGTTGCTGTGTATGTTTCTGAATATGTCCAGACACATGTGCATCTCTTGATATATGTACATCTGGGCCCTTCCTGCTCCTATTCCAATTATTTCTACTTCACTTTCCTGGAGGGTGAATGGGAAATGGATGTTGGAGCTGAAGGGAAATGGAGATGGGGGTATATGGATAGAAGAAGATCTAGGTGAGGAAACATTTTTCCTTCCCTGCTCTTAAGGAGACTCGACCTCAGATTCCCCATCTCACCACCAGAAACCCTGACAGATAGATTGAAGGGTACCTCTCCCTTCCCAGATCTGGACCTGGGTGAGGCTTTGCACTCAGGCTGCATCTTTCCCCTAACCCTCTGCCTCCTGAGTCCAAAATATCTCTGAACTGCTTAGGGAGCTCCTCCAGATGGGAGTCCCCATTTGATGATCTGCTCCATAAGCTCAGACTGGGTCCTCAGCACTGCTCTTCCCAATTCAAGACTGCATCATTCAGAAGCCCCAACTACCTCTACCCTTTCTGTCTAAGCAAACCAGGCTCAGAATTGAGTTAACCAAGTGATGAGCCTTCTCTCTGACCCCTCCCTGCATAACCACCAGGACCCCACCAGGACCTGCTCAGCCCTTCCATTAGATATCTCAGAAGGGAAAAAAATATTACCTCTACAACTAACCCCAAAGACCCCTGAAATCTTCCCATATCTCTCTCTTGTTCCTCCTCTTCTTCTCCCTCTTCCCTCCTCCCCTCCCCCACCCACCCCCATGCATGTCCTTGTCTGGGACACTCCCAGCAGTTCAAGAATCTTCATTACTATCACATCATTCATATAGCTTGTTCAACATCCTGCCCACAGTCATCAATATCACTCTAAGACCTAACTGAAGCAGTTCTCTCTGCCCAGAGGACCCTGGCTCTCCACTGAACTACAGCATGCACATTGAGCCCCCTTACATTTCAGCTGATGAATCCAGAGCTAATTATGTCCCCATCAGCCCTGTCTGTAATGTCAGCCATTCTAGGAGCAACAATATTAGTAATATGGTTCATAATCCCATTCATGATCATATTAGTATGAGCGTGATCATTAATAATGATGCCAATAAGATTAGCAATAATAGTGAACATACTCTGATCCAGTGCAATGCAAGTAATTTTTTTGAGGGGTTGGGACTTGTAATTTCATCTTTGTCAGGAACTCCCAATGTGGAAACTTTACTAAAGCGACTCATCTGTAACTTAGTCTTAGAGAGTTGTTTGGGAGGACTGAGAAGTTAAATATTGTCATGGTCATAGTCTAACATGACCAAACAACTAGCTTGTATCCAAGGCAGAACTTTAACCCGGGTCTTTCTGACTCTACAGTAGGTGGGCCTTCTGTCTACTGTGCTACAGTCCTAGTAATGCTATTAATAGGATAAGGACCAGACTTGAGATTTCACTGGTATAGGGAACACCCTGATGAGGGCACTCCATCTACCAATGCAAGTCACTGGTAGCTTAGAATCTAAAGAGAGTTGCCTAGAGTACTGAGATGTTAAATGATTTAACCAGTAAGTGTCAGAAATGGACCCTGAGCTCAGGTCATCCTGGCTCCAAGGTTGGCTCTTTATCTACTACTATACAGTACTTCTCCTTTTAATATTAGCAGCATAATTAATTGTACAAATTATAGTCTCAGTAAGATAAGTCACACTGTCGGGAATATTGTGAGTAGCAATACCAGTAGTATTAGCCATGGTGCTTTTAATGCCTCTGGCCATACTGGTAATTAATATTGTTAATAATCATATTCATGATGTTATTGGCAGTATTGTGAGCAATGCTGATGACGACACTTGCAGTGATAACATTATCTTACCAATGCTGGTATTAATATGTCAGGCAAGAATACTATTAATAATAGTCATAGCACTATTGGTAAACCTGTTAGTAACAGTAGAAATATGATCAACTTTATAATAATAATAATAACAATAGCTAGCATTTATATAGCACTTTTAGGTTTTGTAGATATTGTCTCATTTGGTCTTCACATCAACCTGAGAGGTAGGTTCTATCATTAGCTTCATTTTACAGATGAGAGAACTGAGGCAGAGGTTAAATCACTTGCCCAAGGTCACACAACCAATAAGTGTGGGAGGCTGGATTTCAACCCAAGTCTTCTTGACTCCAGCTCTTGACTTCAAAGCTCTGGGCCACCAATACTACTAGTGATCATATTAATACTAACTAGGATTAAGTACTACTATTAAGTGCTAATAACCAGTATTTACAATTCTATTATCTGTACATCAGCAATGTTAACAAAAAGTACTATTAATGGTAACCCTATTATGAGCAATGCCATTGGCAATTGGCATTGGACTGGGACTGATACTGAACTAGTACCAGTCTTCATGCAATTATTGTCAATACAATCGGCAATGTTAGTATCAGCACTACAAAGAACATTGGTAGCACACTTGATCCCCCTGTTAGCAACTGTTAACAGAACCTGCAGCAATGCTGTGGATTATATTCCTAATAACCACGTCAGTCATAGTAGCTGGCAATGCTAGGTGAGCTCCCCGTGGTACTCATGCCAAGATTGTAAATGTTTGGTAGTAATGCTGTCAGTAACGTTAGTTAGTTATATGCTACAAGGAAGGCTGCGTCCCCTCACTCCCGCAATTGACGCTCTAACAGCCCAGGGGAGCCCGACAAGCAGTGACACCGGTGTGAAGGTGCAGTAGCTGGCAGGAACTCCGGATGGATCAAGGATACTGTGTCCTGGGACACCAGGACCCCCTGGGAATCCCTCTCCCTCTCCCCCTTTCCCCTTCACCAGTACCGTCTCTCCCGCAGGAGCTTCTGGGGCAGGGCTGTGGGCATCTCCCCTCATCTGGGGTGGGGGAGGGAGATGAAGGGTAGCCATTGCTCAGCGGGCTGGGGATTGCGGGGTGGGGAGGGAGAGCTGAACCGAACCGGGACCAGGCAGGTAGCATAGCATAAACTGTGTGCGTGGGGTGGAGGTAGAAGGCACGGCCTTCCAGGGGATCTCTCACTCACCTCTCAGGAGAAGGACGAGGGGAGTCAGGGAGGCGCTGAGGCTTGGGGCTCGGAGCCCGCAAACTTTGGCGCCCCCGGGGGCTGGTCCTGCAGCAGGAAGGAGATTGCAGAGGGGACTGCAGAGCGAGAGGAAGAGTGAGAGCTGGAGGGAGGGCGAGCGCTGGGAGAGGACGCTATAAAGAGGGCGCGGAGCCGGGCCCCAGAGCACCGCACAAAACCCCCTTTCTTCCCCCCCGCCCGGGCGCCCCGGCTTCCCTTCCCTCCCCTCCTCTCTCTCTTCTCTCGCCCCCCGCCCCTCTGACTAGGCCGGCTCCGGCCAAGAACAGCCTCTGTCGCCCCAGCTAGGGGGCTTGGAGATCACGGGTTATGGCTCTTTCTCAGAGTCTGGCCCCAGTAGCACCAGAGAAGCGAGACAGAAAGGACAAGCGAAATAGGACATTATTCTGGGGACAAGGAACAGAAGACAGGCCGGGAGGGAGGCGGAGGGAAGGGGGCGGGGCGGACTCCTTAGGGAAAGGCAAAGTAAGAGGCTGCTACTACAGCAGAACGGATGGAGGTTAGATCGCAGGAAGGACTTCCCGTTGATTCAGGAAAGGATGGCTAAGGGAAGCAAAGGAAGAGCAGTATATCCCTGGAAAGCAGACCTGTACGTTTTTGTCTCCACCCCCAACCCTACCCACCACCCACGGCGCATGGTTGGGCGGGGGGAGAAAAGCGCAGTGGGTAGAGCGCTGGCCCTTGAGTCGGGAGTTCCTGAGTTCAAATCCGGCTCGGACACTTACTAGCTGTGTGATTCTGGGCAAGTCACTTAATCCTGTTTGCCTCAGTTTCCTCATCTGTAAAATGAGTTGGAGAAGGAAATAGCAAATCACTCCAGTATCTGCCAAGAAAACCCCAAATGGGGTCACGAAGAGTGAAACACGACTGAAAATGATTGAACATCATCATATACGGAGATGAAATGAATACCTCTGCTCCACCTACTTTCTGTAGCTTGGGTTATTCTGTTTTCCTGAGTCCCCCCACCCCCCACCCCTAGAGAGAGATAGAGAGGTAGGGTGGGGCTGACATTGCGGTAGCAGCGCTGGGAGTTAGACTGCAGGTGGATTGGGCAAGCAAAGAAAGTAATGAAACCTTTAGAGCTCTCCGAGATGGAAGCAGGGCATTATCTAGGGGAGCCCTGTTCCTGCAGAAAAGGGGCTAGGAAGGGGCTGGTGGACATTGAGAGGATGATATGAGGGGGATCGGGTGAACTAGCTCGCATAAATAATGAGCAAAGTGATATACAGTTACTGAGTGTGGAGGAAGCCTCCAGGGCCAAACTGCTCCCATAAACGAATGTGGCGGGCACCTTGGTGCCAGGGGGTGGATCAGAAACACTGGCCGGAACAGAATGCGGAGGTGCCCAGAATACTAACCATTCCCCCTGCCCATCCCCCAGGACCCAGGATCTTTGCTTCCCTTCTCCTTCAGGATCTCGGCCTGGGTCTTTCCCAGACTTTCTTTACAGCACCAAGGAGACCAGACATGATCACTGGCAGGGACAGAAGGCTGGACAGACGACAGAATCTAGACGCCTAGATTCTTCCAGGGGCTGCTCAGCTACTCTCAGCCCACCCCTTTTGTTTCTTTTCTTTGTGACATGTGAGGTTTTGCTCAAAAGTACTTTGAAATCCTTAGCAAAGAATCACCCTACATTATCTCCGTGTCAATGAAGAGGGAAAAAGGAAGGGCATAAAACGCTAATTCTGGGTCCATCCCAGGGGAGGGCAGAGAATGGTTGATGGTGGAAGAAATTAGGATTAGATAGTAGGAGGAACTCCTAATAGCTGTGTAAAAAAGGGGAATGGAGAATTGCCATCTTGTCCCAGGATCATAGGGGGGGAAAGTGTTGGAACCTCGATGTTGGAGTGGATGCAGGGGGAATGGCACAATGATCTCTAGAAATTTTTTTTTTTTAATTTCTGGGTTGGAGAAGGGCTGGGGGAAGGAGGGGCATTCCTTTCTGTGCTGGGTCAATCTCCAGTCTCTGGCCCAGTTTAAACCTTGCCAGACAGCAGCCAAGGAAGTGAAATTCAATCGCACAAGCAGCTTATATTTAACCACTGGCCCCCTCTCTCTTGGGAGTTGAGCAGGGGGAGTCCCGCTGTTTCTTGGTCAGGTACTCAAAGTCATCTACACTGCCATGGTGCAGAGGCTAAGGCAGATATAACAACCCTGAATAGCAGGACTGTCAGAATAACACCGGGTCCATTCTGAATTCACTCTAATAGCAGTAGCCGGCTAGTGGCAGTGCAAGGTGACTAACTTTTCTGAGCTGAAAGCTTCTGTGATATGACTGGTATCATTATTATTTTAGCTGCATTAGTATCACTCGAAGGCTCTCCTCCAACTACCCCCAGCACGCTACTATCACATCGGGGAATTTCTGACCACTAGAAACTGGATGTTTTACGACAGAGAGGTCAACATATCCTTACAGCTCCGCCACCAGGGTACCCCCCCCCCCCCACACACACGCCAGCACTGCCCAAGAGAGAGAGTGGAGTGAAATAAATTACCTAAATATCGGACTTTCCAGAAAAGGGGATTAGGCTCCTTGTCAAGTCTGTTGCACAAAGCGGACTTCCAAAAGCTGCAGGTTTATGCTGAAGTCCTTCCTGCACCCTCTCGGTTACTTACTTATCTATCTATCTATCTATCTATCTATCTATCTATCTATCTATCTATCTATCTATCTATCTATCTATCTATCTATCTGTCTGTCTGTCTATTTATTGCTAGTGACTTTTCAGCAAGCTTCCTTAGACTAAAGCCTCTTGCTTTCAGGGATTTGAAGAATGCCGATCATTTAAGTTCCATGGATCTTTCTCTCGCTAGGAGGAGGGCTGGGAAGCCAGACTTTCTAGCAACTACACCTCCTTCGGTTTTTCAGAAACTCATAGTCCTCCTCAGTGACTGGTTGGCGAAATTGTACCGGGAAGGATGAAACTTTAGACAGAATTGCCTAGTTACAGTAGAGGGGCATGTGCGCATTTTCAGTTCAATTTAAATGACTTCGTATGTATAATGGGTATCATATTTCTTGCCTTTTCAATGGGTGAGCGAGGAGTTGAAGGAGGAAAAGAATTCGGAACTGGAAATTAAAATTTAAATAAAATAAAATGTATTAAAAGGGCATTGGATAGGATGATTGTAGATCCTGTCCCCTCTTCTAGGATGGCACTTAACTCCCAGTCTACTGTTTACTACCTCAACTCAAAGGTCGGAAGAGAAACCGAGGCCAGTGAACACCAACCTCCCCCCCACCCCGGCTCTGCACGTGGCACGGACACCTGGGGCCTTTGCCAACTCTGTGCCAGCCGCCACCTCTGGGGGAACGGAGCAGGAAGGGGGCTGGCAGCGGAGGGGGTGCGAAGCGGAAGCCGCCGGCACGCAATTACCCAGCAGCTGCGCGGGGAGAATTGAGGCTTTGAGAGAAACTGAATAGCGGGGTGAAATGGCTGGGTCTTCGGCTCCAGCGGAGGAGGGGGAGGGGAATGAGTCTGGGTGAAGGAAGCCTGGACTCAGAACTAGAGAAGTGGGGGGAAAGCGCAGGGGGGAGGGAGGGGCGGCGCAGGTGTCTTGGGCCCTACATCCTCCCTGGTAAAGGAAGGAGATGGGTTTCCAGCTCCGTCCTGACTTTTCCATACCCTGCACTGGTGCTGATCTCTCTGAGTCTTCCAGATTGGACAGTGGTCCGCCTTATCCCTGTCTTTCATATTTTCTTGGTCTGTGCATCTCCCTATCTTTCCTAACTCCAATTGTCCCTCTTCCTCAAAATCTACCCCCTTAACAAGACCCCAATTTCAGAAGCAAGACCTTCCTTATCCTCCCTTCCCCCCACCCTGGCTCTCAAGTTGCGTGTCCGGACACCTGGGTGCTCTCCTTCCTACTGTTTCCTGGGACTCGTTCCACGTGATTTAGAACAGGAAGTGCACCTTAGGCATCATCTAATCCACACATACCGCCAATTTGCAGATTGCTCCCCTTTTACTACAGCCTCCCTCCCATTACATGCCAAGGGACAGTCCTTTCCTGACCCCTGAGGGTGTTGGAGGAATAGGAACCGACGTAGTTAAATACTTTTAACTTCTTTGGAGAAGGAATGTCTTCACGGTTACTTTATTAATCTACAAAGATCAGTTAATATTTCGACACTGGACTTTGTTCGGTTCTCGCACGCCGGACTCGTTCTCTCCAGGGGGAAGCACCATTCAAATACTATTAGCTCTCAGGGCAAGTGCACCCAGTCACCCCAAAGGCCCCCAAACCACATCCAGGAAGATCAGCGGCCCTGGATCATCTAAAATGCCTCCGGCCCCGGCCCGCCTGGACTTTGGCACCGCTATCTGCAGTGCAGGAGATGGAGAGCGTCAGTAAGTCCTTCCCCATCTCTCCCAGTCTCTCTAGCAAGGAGAAGCTCGGAAAGGAGACAGGCAGTGCAGACACACCCCATACCCAATTCGACTCTCAATCTCTTTCCCAGTTGGACTTAGATCCAACAATGGGAAGGAGGATTGCTCTCTGGACTGGGGTTTTGGAGGGGATGTCCCCCTAGGTCTCTGCATAGCAGTAGGTCCCATAAGCCGGTTGTTCCGGACTAGGGAAACCGAAGCTGCGGACTCCGGGATCCGGGAGGCCCCCGCAGCGAGGCCGCGGAGTGGTAATGGGGAAGCGCACACTGCCGTCCGCCAGCCAGCCTCCGTCGCAGCGGTCCAGGCCCGAGAACTTCCAGGCTGCATAGAGGTGGCCAACCTTGGCCACCACAGCCCCTCGCCTCGCGCAGGCTCCACTCGCCTCCGCCAGCGTCAGACTGCCGGGCACGAAGAACACGTGGCCTGGGAGGAGTAAGGGGGCAAGGCTAACACTAGGCCTCGCCCAGAAGGCGGGGAGTAAGGGGTGTGGGGCTGACTCTGGCTGGAGGAAAACTCCATGGACCCGCCTTTTAAAACTGCCCTTTCCCCCAACCCCCAATCGCCACCTTGTCCCCTAGTCCAGCTCCATTTCTCCTGCCCGCCTC